CATCTTCAAATGGCATTCTAACAGGGTCCGACAACCATTTTGATGTAATTTGGTGGCAAGTGCAGGGGATGCCCTTTTGTGGCACAAATATCGCCCCATTCCTTTTACATTTTTAGGGTTCCCCCCCCCATCGGCTCCTACTCACCAGCACGGATCTACACTATTGTTCAAAATAATGTCACTTCCTGGGGGTGGATCCAAGATTTTTAGCTGGGGATCAGACAATAATTTTGGTTCGTACACAGGGGAATGTGCTATACTTCAAGTTGTCACCATTGGCAGAGCTATACATACACGCAATATAAGAACCCTTCATGATTGATTCTTTTAGGGGTCTCCCAACCTTTAGACGTAGGCCCCTTAAAAAGTCAGTAACACAACTGGGAATGGGCGGGGTCTCCCACCCATCCGCGCCTGTTTTTTTTCCTAATTTAATGGAATTAACATTAATCTGATTGGTGGCATGGTGGCAATAGTCTTTCGCAAGTTCAGCAATGGTACAATGTAGTAGGCGATTTTGTCGTACAAAAAGTAAAACAGGAAATAAGCATAATTATGTTGGTTGACTTGATCTCGTGACCAGTTTCGATTCACGAGCGTGCCGTTGTCTCCTTAAAACGGGCCATAAAACAGGCACCTTTTCAGCACTTGTTAGTGTTAAAGTCCACTTTGCTCGACATGGCTGGCTTGAACAGTATGGCTGTCGCTCCTCCCTCACCCTGCTGAAAAAATAGAAAAAAAAATTAAAAGAAAAAACTGACCTCTTCCACTGTCAATGGTTTATGAGTTTGCTGCTGATGAATGCTCTATCCCCTCCCCAAGCTTTCCCGTGGAAAAAAGATGCTTTGGCTTTCCCCTACTGGGAAGACTCCCATGGACGCCCATGTTGGAATGTTTTGTCATTGTTTCAGGTCCTTTCCTGCTCCCTTCGTCCCTGACCCTATCCCCTCCCCTCCAGCTCAGACCTCGCCTTCTATTTGCTCCCTATATTCCGCTTTACATCCTCCATGCAGTCTCGCCTATAGTCAATTTTTTCTCACCTACTATGATACCTTTTTCTGATGACCTGTATATTCTAGTCAGTGTGCTTGTATTTATTTCTTCGCCGAATACCACTGTGGAACTAATCTCTGTAATTATTAAATTTGTCATTACGAGGTTTCAACGGCTAGGCGATCCACCTGCTCGTCCCCAACTGTCCTTACGGGGTGCTAGGAAGAACAAAATGTTTTTCACAAATCTTGTGAAGGGAATGCGTCGTAGCTACGATTTACATGCACAAAGCATTATGGGTCCTTTTCTTCATACGTCAAGGCACGTATGTTCATTTCACGTGTCATGCTCTGGTCGAAGCTTGGATCCGCGCTCGTGGAAAAAGGTACGTCACGCATTTGCACTTCCCAGCGCCGGCGCTCAACAGTACATGTACAGTACACTGACGGCGGGAACGAGTGCCGATTGCTAGTCTTTGTTCTTAGAGGTTGCTGTCTGTGTGTTTCACCAACGCACCGCCCTGTGGAGGAGTATTGTGACCAACTGTATTATACCACTGTGCACGAGCTATCGGCAGGTAATAATAAACAGTAACGTCTTGCAACCAAGACTAGACGAACGCATACTTACGGACGGCGCCTCGTGACCGGCCGCGCCTCAGTTCCGTTCATCACCGAGTCTCTCAACGGTCCGTGTGCAGAAGCGATACGTTTTTCTTTACCATTCAGCAGCGCATCCTTGCATTTGCAGAGACACTTCGGAAATTACCACCATGATTAGCAGACTGTGTTTTGCCCTGTGCATTGTCCTCCTCATGGTTGTGATGGTGGTGTCGGTAAGTTTATGAAACACATTACACTTTAAGGATTTACTCTTTATGTCATTCAAGTCTATGCTCTGTCGCCCGATTGCGCAGGAATATCACCTTTCCTTCTGCCTGTAAATATATTGGATTTGGAAGTACAGGCACAAGTTTAATTCAAGCTATTTGTTCATTCTAAAGATGAATTTTGCGCGTAATGCTTGGAGATGCGGGTCCTTTCTCGGAAAGAAGCAGGTGACAAAAGCTGGGGTGGATTTTTTTTTTATCATTTTTAGTTCACGATTGCTGAGTACAGCGCTTTTCGGAACCAGCCGCCATGGCGTTGCCAACTGCCTTGGATAACATACCCGTGACCCGGTTTAATCATATGCCACATTCCGTACGGGGGCAAAATTCTCGATAGTTCGATGGCTTGGCCAAGTTGGCTTCTGTTCCATGTCTATTGTGCAGTCGAGTTAAGGTTTCAAACTTCATCATGATGTACTGAGGAACGTTTTGTTTTATAGGTTTCAGTGCACAGGTTTGCAAGACAAAGATAACAGATTTTTTTTTATCCTGGGTGTATACACAACCCTGGCATGCCCAAATTTAGCCCTGGTGTAGTTGATATACATCGTGCGCATGTAATGTACCCTATTCTTAATCTTATTGCCCGTTTCATGTGCTCGTTCCTACTCACAGGGCAGGGGAACAAGGATTCAGTGTCTCTGCCCCCTTAATGTCGTTCTATTAGAAGTTCCACGTCCATTATTCAAAAAATGATACATGGGCTTGAGGTTAGAGGACAGCCTTTTTAAATGAAATCCTGCAGCTTCACTGTTGTTTCCCGTGAGCTTTAGAATTTGTGTGCATGTAATCAGTGCATGGAGAAGGCGGGCTCTGTAGTTTTTTATTGTCATTCAATGCATATTAGGCATTCAAATATTAAAAGTGTCTGACATTTGGCTTCTCTTTGTTTCATATTTCTAAATCATACGTCGAATTGACTTTTGCTATATTTTGTTCTGATCTGTCTGTTCCGTTGTTTCCACGCATAAAAGAATGAATGAAATCATGTCAGACTATTTTCAAGGCTTTGTTGTGGTGATAGTTTAGTTAGCAAAGACTCGTTTTGAAAACAACGAAACACGAATATCAAATACGACTAACATGACTTTACGGAAATGCCTATGAAACAATGGGTAGTACGTAATGTCAAATGATTCGAAAGTAGTTTTGTTTCAGTAATTTATCAAAACTTAAAACGGAAACATGCTTCCATTGTTTCCGCTCCCGCAACATTGATACATCATCGGCACAATAATACCCGCTGTATATGGTAATCGGCATGACTTTTGTGACAAACACTTTTGGAAAATAGTATTTAGGAAATAAGTTGTCTCATTTAGGTAACCACCTATCCTGTTTGTTCTATGTAGTGTGGTTAGCTTTCCTGCCTTTGTGCATATAGCCATGCAGCCTGATTGGGGGTTGAGGAGCATAATATTAGAAATCCTCACGGATACGACCATCCGGTGGACATGTCTGGAATAAAAATCGCAGTCCATTGACTTTGTCTCGACTGTGGTATTACAAATGCGTGCATAATATGTAAATGCAGGCCTTGGCCTATATATGTCGTTCGTGTATATCCCAGACTGCTTCCCGTTTCATTTATAGCTTTTGTCATTTGAGTAGTTTTCAACAAACAAACCCATTTGTGTGCTTTTATTACTTTATGCGTTGTTTTTGATAAATTTTGCTCGTTCGAGGTCATGTTGAATGTCTCGTGAACATTTCGCGTATGAAGATAGGGCCAACCCACAAGATTGCAAGATATAATGTATACACTTTTTACATCCAGAATGTCTGAAATATTCTCGCTATTCCCAAAGAGTTTTCAAATTCCAGACGTTCATTTTATCAAGCGTCAAATCCCCGATAATTGGCAACAACAGTCTGGACGCATTTTCAGTCATTTGGCTTTTGATTAAAATCACATCTGACCGTGATTTATGAGCTTCGTTTTAAGTTAACTGTGCGGTACCTCACATTGCATCAGAGAGTGGATTTCTCGATTATAGTAACCGTGCAGCTGGAAGAGTAATGCACGGCCCAGTCTTCAAAAATGTCCACCGCGGTGTGGGTTTCTGCGGTAACTTGGTAACATGGTCCTAAAGTTTCATTTGGGGGAATTGTTTTCGACAGTGGCAGCATGGTACTGTGCCATTTCAGAGCGCGACCTGTGACTTGAGCTGGGAAAATTTCCAACAGTCAGGACACTTCCGCCTCGGGAGTTCAGTTCAGTTATAGGCTTACATGTACTAGAATTATTACTCTCGGTCAGAGGATCACGTTGGTTGGTGTATTACATTCCTGAGCTGCCGGTACCACGGCAGGAACTATGAATAAAAACATTGTCTTAAAGAAAACCCACTGAATAATGATGCATGACGCTTGGCCCCAAGTGGGGTCGCTCCAGTTCAAACAATGGGCCTATTCAGAGAGTTAGTCTGCACTGTGATAAAAGCACATCCTGCTCTGCGAAAACTGTGGTGCTAAAATAAAATCAACACTTTTTGGTGTTATCAGATGACCGCACCTTAGGGTGTTACTTTGACACCGCTGGCGTTACTTTGCACACCAGTAAGTGTTACATTGCACTGGTGGGTGTTAAAATGAACATCAAGTAACACTATTTTTTTAAATACTAGCGAAAAGTGTTGGTGGAGTCCTCTGATAACAACAGGGAGGGTTCACCCGAGTTTTTGCAGTGTGACAGAACTATTAAAATTTCAAAATTTACTATTAAAAAAACTCAAAAATAACTGGAAAAAGGAGCCCCAACCTACGCCCAAGCACCACTGAAGTATTTCTCCAAGGATTTGACCAAAGTCGTGTGCCACCGGGAAAAAATCAGACTGAGTTGAAAGAATCTCAAAGAAGGCTTAACCGTTTCCTTGCTTTATGCGGCGACATAAGTTGAATCAACATATTGGATTGTCAAGATGCAAGGGCCTCTTTTTGAGACTAAGTATGTACATGTATACCCTGTCGGCAAGAATTTATTTACAGGGTGCGAATATTATAATGCTATAGAGACTATAGTCCCAGCTTCAATATAAACGTTGTACAACCGTATGTAGAGCTTACGTCCCAGCTCCATGCATGATGTGACGAGAAGGTCGCCAGCCAGCAAGTAATCGAGCACGATTGCAGAAAAACTGCACCCGAGATCTTTCAATATCTACTACATGTACTCAGATTTCCACGGGGCCGGGTGCGCATGGTGAGCGTTCTGGGGCGCTCGAGCGGGGTCGACGGTCGGGATAAGGGTCAGGGTCATGTCATCAGACGTCTGGTTGCATAGACCTTGGGGACGCTGCTCGAATCAAGGACGCTGAAAACTCTCGAATGGGACGACTTCTCTGAGTATGTAAAAGCACTTCACTTACGATATTCGTGACATAATTCATGAGTGTGAATGAACTGTTCGACGTTCATGTGGGATTCAGCCTCCCCCAAATGTCCCTCGGTCATGTTATATCCTTTCCTTTTTTCTGGATAGGCCATGCTTTTGTTATTATTTTGTAAAAACATGTAGAAGCTACCGTTGTGAGGGGCATTTTGTCTTGACGTACATACGTTTCCGTTTGCTACTGTGGTTTATGATCACGACCTTAAAATTATTTGATTCTAAACCTAGGTGTCATGATGCAAGTGTTAAATTCAACATACTTCAGAAGTTCGGAATGGCCGCGGAACCGATTTATATATTACAAAACAGGACACTGCTCTTAATGACACTAAAACTGTGGTTTAGTCCAAGATAGAACTAATACTGGGGAAGCATTGCACTTTTTAGCAGCTAGTTCGTGGTCGTGTGAAGTTGACTGACAAATGTCTTGGCAGATGGAAAATGCTGAAATCTGCACAGTGTCAGCTCATCAGATGGAACAACTCTTCATGTTAACGTAGACAATTTTAATACCTTCCAGCCCATGCAAATAGGTACAGAATTTAGTTAGGAAATCTGGAGAAATTTTGTTATACTCTCATGGAGAAAACACAGGGCTGTGATCAGGATGCAGTTGCTAATTCACGCATACTGATCAACCAATCAAGATAGGAGATTTGAGCCAACGAGGGCTTAGGCTACTTTAAACTTTTAGCCATTGGGAAGGCTTCTAACTCTGCTGGCTCCGTTGGGGGTGGGGGGTAAGTGCAGCTTGAGGTCACTTTATCACAGCTCTTTGTGGGAAATACAATGGGGAAATTAAACTTGTAAAATTGCTCCCCTCCACCCCATCACCACCAATTGAATACATGTTGTATCAAGGAAGTTATCCAATATCTATATTGTTTAATTCAACCTGATTTTGCCAAATGGTTTACAACCATGGATGTCATTGGTGTCCAGGAGGTCCACCTGGAGCCACTGTTCCGCCCGTAGGTTTGAACAAGACAAAGTTAGGTAAACAATCCCATTAACCACCTCTAGGTTGGCAGCATAGGGCTTTTCTTGCAAACAGTGAAGGGCGTTTTCTGGCGGGAATTCGACAGACAGGTTAAAATTTCTCGTGCACTGGCATAAGGGGCAGTTAGTGTATTGCAGACAGTGGAATTTACCCATCATGTAATTTACATACTACATCTACATTGTATGACAATAGTTACAGTACATGATGACAGGAAATGGTAATGGCTCCATGTATCTTAAGGGGCTATTCCTCCCGTAGCTCAGCGCTAAGCGGGGGGACATCCTGTGCCTGGATGGTTTAATTAGTAGTTCGTTATTAATATTCATTCAGAAATTATTAGGTGTTGAAAGGTCTTGTCGCCCGTGATGAGTTGTTTGACCTGGTGATACCATTTGTTAAGGCTATTTCGTAATTGGGTCTAGTGTGCCCTAATTTTTGACAACGTCTGGTGAGCCTTGTGTATCAGGGCTGATGTACCCTGGCCTGGTGTTTCATGGTCTGTGGACCATGTATGGTGGGCCGGTTGTACCCTACTCATGGGTGGGTCTGGCAAGTCCTTCCTCCATGTGTAAACCAAGGTGGTCTGGTGTGCCCCACTTAATTTATTGCATTTTGTTGCCAGTTTGTCCACAGCACTGGTATCTGGCAAAATTTTGACTGATAAAGAAGAGCTGTGGCATATTCTCAATTATTCGTGTTTGTCCATTTTATCCCAGTCTGAGAATAAGCTGCATGCCTGTTAATCAAATAGGCGAGGCACCATAATAATTCCTACGCGCATCCGACCCCGGGCGCTCCGCTCCCGTAGTATCGATCGTGTCTTGCCAGTACGGTATTCATAAATTGCCAGCATGCTCAGAAGCGAATTGTGTGAATTGTCATGCACTCAAACGAAATTACTGGACATTTACTTTGTTGCTTTGAGTTAAGTTCCACTCCTAAAGGCGTATATAAGTATGCATTATTGTAATTCCCTCCGTCATCGGTATGGTACAGCCACCCTCTACATCGCAGCGTGTATTTCATCATGTTTCCCTTGAAATTTAAATTTTCGCAGTAAAATACATTATCTGCCGTTGTCATTCAGGGGTAGTCTCATAAAGTACAAGTAATTTCCTTTATTAATTGGATACAGTTGCTGAACAACTCAAAACCAGTCATGTACATCTGCACCAAACGCATTCCCAGACTACTTATTTTTTGCAGATAGCAACTTTTAGAGAGTTTTTTTTCTCTCTTTTTCTTCCGTTTAGCATCAGAGATAGGTTTAGTTCAGGAATAAGGAGCCTACATTCTATATTAGCCATGTGTTTGGCAGCTGCTGAACCACTGTTATCGTGGGGCGTTGCCATTTTTTAAAATGTTGACGTATTGGAAATATTTTTCTTATTCCTACAGCAAACAGGCACTCCGGATATGCCCACCGCAGAGCCCACAAACGCACCGCAACCAGAGCCTACCGGGCCGACCGCGGAACCCCAGCCAGGCCCTGAGCCCACCGGCCAGCCGGAGCCAGACGCCGGTACGACCAAGCCCATGATGACCAGATCCGCTGCGACCGTCACCAACCTGAGCGCATTAGCTCTGCTGCTCAACGCCGCCGCCGGGTTGGCCCTCCTCCGTCAGTAGCCGGAGAGCCCGGGGTATCTACGACCACTTGCACCGACCATTGACATCACCGACGTTGTCCGGTCGCACAAACGTCGCAGCATTCTTCGGATTTGTACAGTCACGGGGAACATCGGGATTAAGCTTTGAGAACAAAGAATTTCACCCCCAGATTTCATTTTTTCCTTTTAGTGCCCGTTGGCGCTTGGCTTTCCATATAAGGGTGTTCATTGTCACTAACTTGTTGAAGAAAGTTGTAAGACTATTTATAGTTCAAACAATGGTTTTTTTCTCGACATACGGATTTCCAAGTATTAAGAGGCTATTTTGAATAAGGTTTACCTTTGTAAGGTCTTCTATAGCTTTTGTAGAGATTCGATTAAACATTTCTTTGCCCCACGGATCAACAAAGGATTATAAAGTTTACCGGTCAAGCAATACGAACTGTTATATGCTCACTGGTCAACTGATCTCATCCCGTGTCACCGTGGAGAGATCTTTTAATATTAAGAGTTCTTGGCCCACAATTTGTGTCTATTTGTACCCAAAAAGTTCCGGAATTTTTTAGGAGTAGGTCTTCCTTTCCCAAAATGTGTACCACATCGTCCATCTTCTCGACGTTCCAAGGTTACTTTCAGTCTTGCTCATTAATTTGAAACGCACAGGCGCTGTCTGTTGTTCCACAACTTCCACCAGAGTTTGCCTTCGCTACATAAATATTTATGCGACTTCCCATTTGGATGGTCAATCAAGATAAATGCTAGTGTATGACAGCCGGACATTTTTATTTACTGTGGCTTGTGTAGAATGGCATTGGCAGATGCCAGCTGGCGAAGACGTAGCATCTATACAAGCCTACCGCAGGGGAGGTATTTTTTCTACTATCGCTGGGTTTGATAGGCACCGTCCCGTCCATTCTGGACACGTTCGCTCTTGAACCCACAAATCACCTTGTTAAGCTGAACATGGAACAACATTGAGCGGAAATTTAAATCATGGACAGCAAATACCCCAAAGCCTTAATTTATGGATCTTTTCACAGCTGAACTCATCACGAAATGAAACAATAACAGTAAATGACGTCCATTGATAGAGTTCAACATGAAACGCTGCAAACACAGTGAAGTTGCCGTGTCTTGCCTTCTTCGTGATGTGCAGCCTTCTGTTATGAGGTCGATTTGTATGTGATGACGACTTGTTCACGCAAGCTTGCATACAATTTCATATACATATGGTACTCAGCCATGCTTGTTTGCCCAGTACTCATATTAATTCAAATTAAAGAACATAGTACTAAGAACGAAAATTGTACTAAAAGCAGGCTCATGCTAAGATACTCAAAGGATATATTCGAGAATAGGTATCTCGTGAAAATACTCAGAACAATCTTTAACAGTCGCGGGATCTATATGTCGGGGATTTTGCGGCATGGTTTTAGTCATTAGTACCATTTTATGTCGACATTGTGACAAGTTTTTACTTTTGACCACAAGTCATAGCTATCTTAGAAATCCCCACAGTCCTAGTATTTTGTATATATAATTCGGACCATGGCAAATCTGGTTGGATGGAGTATGTTGGGCGAATACCTATCAGGCTTGTTGTCGTTTATACTGCGGTAGTATGGTAGCCTCTCTATCGACCCATGTTCTCATTACAGTGAGGTCATGGGGACTAGGGCAAAAGAATCCTGCAGTGCATACACCTGTCATGTCTTCAGCTTGTTCTTAATACCTCTGTATACGCCAACGCAACTGGGAGTTGAAAGGCTATAAGGTAAAAATAAGAAATCCTAATCATTGGTGTACTATTTAAATCTCACGAACAGCGAGCAGGGCAAATAAAGAATGAAGCCTATGATTATCCCCTTCCGATATGACCGCTGATTTATTTGCCATCTGCCCACCAACCGTGAGGAAATAAAATCAAAAGTGGACACATGTTTACTCTGTAAAAAATATATATATTGTGGTGCGTGGTATCAGTTATGCTGTACTTAGACACCACGTTAAACACTACATTTTTGCTGTGTCAGAAAGATCGATTGTGTCAAATTAATTTTCTCCCTAAATCTAATCAAAATGTGTTTAGTTTATGCACTTATTGGAAGCAGTAACCTTTTAGTTCGTACTGTAGATTAGCAGTTTAGTATATGCACTGAACAGTTTCAGTTTTAGCGTTGATAAATAAATATTTAATTTGCCTTATAAATGAGGAAACACGTACTGTTCCTTATTTTGTTCAAATTCTGTCCACTTTTCATCTTAATGATTTTTTAAAACACTAACACAAAGGAAAATTTGTTGTTATTATCTGCTTTAATAATGTGACTTGGCAAAGCCGACAAATACATGCAAGTCACTAGCGAAGCGGCAATTCTTTATGGAAGCATGCACAGCACCAATTCGACCCTGACTATAGGCGTCTTAATCATTTAAAGATTAGCTGGAGCTATGCACTTTATTTGGAGGGGTGTTTCGTGCATGTGCTTTTATTATCACCCGCAATGCAATGTCTGCATGTCCCCGATATAGTGATGCAGTGAATCAAGTGAATGCAATTCTGTTCACCACGTGATAATGGAGTGTGTGTCATGTGTCACTGGAAAAATAAAAACTCCAGGGTGTCGTGAATGTATTGTGTATTGTGAGTGTATTGAATGTAACAGTTAATGATACATGCAGTTGTCATATGATACACATGTAGACATAACAGTGTTGACTTTAATTTCGGAGCGAGTTTTAAATTAAACAAATGGAAATTGATAAGTAGTATTTTGGAGACTAAACAGATTATGCTTTCTGTTTCCAAATTACGGAAAAAGTTACTCAGTTCTGGGTAAATACATACTTGTTTGTTCACTTTTATTTTCAGACTTCTTTAAATACTTTTTGTTAATAAAAGGTTTTCAAGGTTAGGCCTAAACTGATGGGCAGCATGATACATTGTGCGTATATACATCTTGTGTCGATGGACTGCAGTTATCGATCCAACATTCTCAAAATGGGGAGACATTACAAAAGGGGGCGCCCCAGAATGGAAGTTACCCTTTGCGTGACATATTCTTCGTCTTAACGTTTGTCTATTAAAGTTAATTGCCGGATGGCACACCCCTAATGGATCCGCTACTGGATCATACCATTGTCGTATGTCGCATTGAACACGCCAACTGGAATTAAGGTCATCAATATGAAACTGCATTTCCTCAGTAACATAAACCCAACAAATGGAATCAATCTTTGCTCTCAATTCTTCAGAAGGAAGTAGTGAAAGAACACGGCGAAAAGTCTGAGTGGGAATGAGGAAGAAAGTGCGTCCATACTTTTGGCAGTATCTTTCACAAGAAGAAAAAACGAGACTTAAAAAATTCTTATAAGGCCAGCATAAATCAGGAAAACCACACCGAACTATTAGCAAAACGCAGAAAGATTACATGATGGGTTGTCTTCAACGGTTACAAAGTAAGATTTTGACAATATAGCAAATCCTGAATATTTCACTGCTTAGAAAAAGACTGTAGGGGTTCGCAGACTTTTCTTTTATTATGAAGTGAACTGAAGAGGTCATTTCACTCGGCAACATTTTGTTCGGAGTAGGCCTACTACTAGCCCGATTACAGCTCCAATTTCATTTAAATGCTGTGGAATCGAGGAGAAATTCTGATTTTGAAGGCAAAATTTCACACTTGTGAGGTTCAAAAAATGGTGATTTCTTCTGCAATATTTTCCAGAGCTTTACCACTTTGTGCTATGTTGTGTGGATTATCCAAACTGTAATTTGATTCATTTTTTATTAGCATTTTGGTCCACTATCGCCCAAGGTTCTACTGAGTCAATGAAGTGCATGGAGTCTTCAACTCCACTATGTATGTCCTAAATTTCATAATTCCTTGGTGTCTGCCGGAGATCTGAGCCCTAGGCAATTCCAGTGTTGTGGTACATTATAATTTTGTGCATCGCTGTGGCATTTCGCATTTGTTGTATTGTTTAATTTAATTTCATTTTTCATTTTATTCTTTCCTTTTTATATTTGTTGGTGCGCATTAATTGCGTAGTGGCAGGGTGTTCTGTGTTATGGCGCCTTTACATATTTACGGGCGTCAACACTTCCTCCAAATGTTGTGTATCCGTCAAAATTGCTCCCGGGGCGATTTGGACGGCCGAACGCAAAGCACATGTGTGTTATGTAATGGAGTCGGTTTTTGTGTCCGTGAAAGTGAAGCGCATGAGCTTGTCGTCTATGCAACGCACCCCCAAAAACCATATACTGGAAAGCGCCTTCAGAGTGCACTGTGACCTCGCGCAATAGAAAAATAGTAGACTCTTTGACTCATGTTTTTATGCGATTCGTGCATACAGCTGGAGCGGCTGACTCCGCCGTCTGGATTATTTATAAACTGAAATGCATGTAATTCACGATAGGGCATATTGTTTGATATTTAATCTAGCAACACCGAGAGTAAATCAACTCAACGCCTTATGTTTCCTGGCACGATACCAAACATATCCAAGCACTTTACGTGACGGTCGCTGTAAACTCATTCCTGTCTCATTCATTTTGGGGCATTGTAGACTTTCAGAAGGGGGCCATACTAAGAAACGGCGATCTCGTGCGCACAGGAGAAATTACGATGATAAAGTCGTTTTTCCGAGCACTGAAAATTCCACTTTAATTAATTAGAAACTAATAGCAAACGCGATTTAATTAAATTGTTTGAAGAAAAAAATGAACAAAGCCAGAAAACCTGAGAGAATATGATCATCAAGGTCGCACCCCTGTACATGTACATGTACATTTTCAATGGCCCGCTCACGCTTCTTGCCGCCAAGGCCATTTGTGCGCATGCGTGCACAATTACGAATTTATAAGTGAGAGGTCTATGACCCAGCATCCCGCCTGTGCACAGTGTACAGTACATGTACGTGCACCGTGATCGCGATCCGATCACGCTCCGATCACGCTATGCCGATCTTCTGCCATTTTGATAAACGCAAACAGCCGGCAGCGCGTATTATTTTTGCCAGAAAATGTCAACTATCATGAAATACTGAAAATTCGGTTGTGCATATCTTATCCTGTATTATTGTAATGTAATTCGGTTGCAGTACAGCATGAATGGTATGATGTGTGTGCATGTACCGTGTTTCTTGGCCAGGCTTCGCGAACGAAGATCATGAAGGTAGAGCCCCCCGGTAGTGGTCCAAGGCGACAGCAAGCACGCTCTCGACTGATTAGGCCGATGCGGGACCCGCAGGTCCGGTTGCAGTGGCAGCAAGTGAAGATCTGGTTGGGGTTTAGTGCTGCTGCATTTCATATACTTAATAATTGTGAATATGCTACAGCAAAGGACACAAACAGACTTCACCCCGCTCCAAAACCATTTGCATTCAATGAAGCGCTTCCTGTTATATTTAGTTCTGCATCTCGCCATTCATTTAAGCTGTTGTTAAGGATTTTTACACACATGAGGTTCAGAAAACGGTGTACACACCCAGGCTTACCTAACATACCTAGTGTGGACATTCCTTTTTTTGTGCGGTTAAGAAACTCAGTGAAAATACTCCTTTTTCTTGAACTGGGAACACAATTGTCAGCTGGCTTTTTGTACAAGGTTTCCTTGACTAGGCCTATTCCTCTTCCTTTTACGACACATGATCCCTACCCCAAAATGCCTCGAAACTTCTTTTTGAGAGAAGGGGAAACGTCCTGTGGACATGTGTAGGTCCACAGGACGTCTTCCGTTCCTGCATCATGTTGACGTCTTTTGTTCACAAGTCCACAATCCGTAAGGTTAGCGGACGTAAACTGACGTGTATGCTGTATCACTGGAGTTCAGTTGAGGGCGACATGAATAATTGGCTTTTCCGACTCACCCACGCACGGAAAAGATTTCGCGCGCCATACCCTGTTAGGCTTGCAGCGACGAATGCAATGGCCTAAGAGTAAAAGGTCAGTCGGTTACTAGCTTCCGGAATCCTCGCGCGGTCCGCCTATTTGAAACATGGGGCCGTCCCAATAACGCTCGATAATTTTTGGAAGAATGATTCCTAACTGAAACCACCTCAAGAAATACTCATGTCGGAATTCTCTCTGTCCTCTTCAAGTAATATTTTAAAAGAAAAGTCACCTGGAGATGGGTGAAAACGAATTTTATTAACGACCTTTCACTTCCGGCAGTATCGTTCCCATAGGTCTCCTTCTCAAGTTCATGCACGTTTGTTTTCATTCCTCGTGCTTTAATACGTGGAAACGAGATCGTACAACGTTGCAAAGGTTTACCTACCTGCAGTCGATGGACTCTAGGTTCAGTCGAATTGATTATTGCTTTAAGTTTGTTTTGTTATAAATTCTAAAATCCTTAAAATATTTTTGTCTGCTTTAATTTTGGCTTGTACCGAAAGACTATCATGAAGTATAATTCCGTATTCATTTGCGTACTAGACCTCCGAATTGCACTGTTCTTCATGTGTGTTAAATTTTCAGAAGTTTTAGGTCGGGTGATTTTTCAGTTTCCAAATATTGACATGCTAGCAAATATTTTACCAAAGGCCCTTTTAAGATGTACATGTAACTGAACGAAAAATTATTGCAAATTCTGAAGTTTTGGCACGTTATTTTCCCTATCCAAAGGTTCCGGTGCACGCCATCAGGGATGAACTTTCAGGCTCTATTTGCCGAACCGAATTGGCAATAAACGCTGTACTATTGCCGTGCCGAACATTAAAATATGTTTGAAGTTCTGCAGGGCAGTCACACGGGGTATGCAGAACTTTCAGCCTTTCCCTATTCCTTCCTGAAGTCAGGTATTACCACACAATATATTAAAAGGTATATAAAATAAGCTCTCAGTTCATTCAAAATTTTAATCTATTGTGTGGTAATACCTAACTTCAGGATGGAATGCTTAACGTTCATCATCTCAAAATCGACATTCCACGGTCGTGTTTATTGGTTTTCCTTGGAATTTGCTCGTCTCCCAGCGCCTTAACAGGGAAGGGCTGATGGCAAATTTATAGTGTGATTGGCTACTATGTGTACGACCTCCGACCTCCTGTTAGCCAAACGTTATTTGAATTTGTTGGTAGCCAATGGTAAGGCCTTGACAGAGGCCGAAGTGTCAGGCTATATCATAAAACATGGCCTTGGTATAAACTCTAAAAACTCCCGGGTCAGATTGACCCAGAATTGGGTCCCATTCGGCGTGACCCTTTTTCGGATCGTGTTTGACCCTCTCTGGGAAGGATCACGCTGAATGGGACCCAATTCTGGGTCAATCTTACCCGGGAGTTTTCAGAATGTACAATCACGGAAATTTATTTTCTTACTAAGTACTTTGATCACGTGTCTTATGGCGATTTTTTTTTCAAATCTTTGGTTTTCTTGATCAATTTTGGTTGAACTAATGAAGTGAAGTGATGATATTTTCAGCAATGAGGATGACAAAGAAAAATATCAAATTGATAACTGCAACACGGAGCGAGCTCGCGCGCCTGGCAAAATTACCCACAGTTCTCTGCGCGTCATTAGCTGTGACCCCAGTGACGTATTTCCGTCACTAACATTTTTACAAGACCATCAGGGGTGCAGACCACTAATTCAAGAGAGAATTTCTGACCAGCTC